TTTTACAGAAGTTTACTGAAAGCAGCACTTCTGTTCAAAACAGCAAGAGTAATTTCTGGCTCTCAAAATGTCAGTGGTGAGATTCCAAAGCAGAGATACGGCTATTAAGGATGCAGAAAAGAATTTCCTTGCTTTAAATATTTTTTTAATCTCTTCTTGATACCTCAGTGGAAGTTGTATGAGATTATGATAATCCAAAATTTACAGACCAGGAAAGAAATTTTACTACTTTAACAGCTTTCGCAAGCACATTCAGTCTGAAAACAAATATAAAAGTCAGAAAGTTATAACACTGGATGTTTCTATATTAATGTTGTGGCAGTGAATAAAAGCTGTGTACCAGCCAGCTTGAAGAAAAGTTTCTTCTCTGTGGCACAAGAGAGGTTTGAAGGTGGAAATCCCCTCATTACACACATTTTGAATTTCCTTCAATATGCAGCAGGTCAAAGAATTTAAATCAATGCATTGTCTGTAAATGGAGATGTAGTGCTTTCTATGTACCTCAATAAATGATAGCTGTCTTACAGATTGCTGGCCATTCTCTATTAACTAACAAATCAGGAACATAAAAATAATTCCTGTAAATGACCTATGTTGTAACAAACTCTTTGTTAAACACATACACACATTTCTGAATGATGAGTTTCAGAGCTACATAAGATGTAAGTTCTTTTTGACAAGATATAAAACCTTTTTTTAAAAAATTGCTTTACAAGCTTGGCTCACAAAAATATCAGCCAAATATACTTCATATTAGCGAGTTGAACTCCACAACCAAAACAAACCTCTACAACCCATGTAACCTATATGCACTCATTAGTGGTCCTTCATAAGAAATGTATTACAGAATGTTTTATATACGGCAACTTTTTTTGTCTGTAAGGGACACTTGCACAAATTCAAGTCATTTAAATTAATCATTATGAACACCCGGAGATGTTGTTACCTATTTTTCTTTTGCATCAGTGGAGAAACATGTTTAATCACCCTGCCACTGGTAACCAGGAAAATGCTTCCTCAATTTTCCTTTTAATTTCTCTGTGATGATTTCTCACAAGTTGAATGTAAATAAAGATAGGAAAGAATCCCTTTTTCTTGTTCACTTTCCACTCAGTCAAGTTAAGTACAGTGACTCAAAAAAACCAGTGTTTTTGAGTCCTGTTTTTTTTTATCTGAATGCTGAGATATCAGAGGGAAACAGTTTTTTTGACTGGCAAAGAAGTAAATATCAGTCCTGATTTTCAGAACACTGAGATATCTGAGGGAAGGAATCAAGAACAAGCTAGTTTGCCAGAATTAAATAAAAATATATGTAATTCTGGAATATCTGTAAAAAAATCTGTAATTCAATTTTATTTTATTGGGACATTAGAAAGGGAACAGAAATACACTGAACAAAAATAATAATACTAATTTGAGTTCCCTAGAGCAGCAATAAGAACTCAGAAAGCAATCTCCTAAGTAGAATCCTTCAATTAGAAAAAAAGTATTAGGGAAGATGGAATCCAAACTTTCTATATGTAGACACTGTAACATGAGGTTCTCCAACAATGATCATTGACATTTCACAATATGCGAGATGCGGGCTAATAATGCCAGATGTCATGATCTTCAGAAGTCTTACATGAAGAATTTGTCTTAGCAAGGATCACAGTGATCCCATGTGAAATATTCACTGTTACTGACGTTCCTAGGAATTATTGCCAAGCCAAATGTCCTTGGCTTCCAAAGACTCCAAGAAACATGTTAGGCTAACATTTGCAGAAGTTTCTCCCTCTCTGGGATACTTGCCTAACCACAGTTTGAGCCTCTGAGTGGAACAGCCAGGATCTGAGGCAGCCAAAATCTTCTTGCATCCTAAAAATATACCCAGTTTAGATCTCAGATAAAGAATGGAGGTATTCTTTGCACTGCGTGAGGAACTAATTGTAGAAGTTCAGTAATCATGAAATCTAATGAAAGGTTAATGTGTTGATGCAGACTCTTATGTGAGGCAAAGTATAGCAGTGTTTTGATGGCAAATCTACTCAGATCATTTGTCAGGAGCCTGCAATTCTGCTTCTGAGCCAACAAGATAATTATCTGAAGAGTGTAAAGTGGACAACTGCTGCTGACAGAAGAGCTTTCAAATGGTTCAAAGGCCTAGGTGACCTGCCAGTCCAGGAATGATGAAATAATCACATTCCATTGCTCACTACAAGATATTTCAAGAGCCTGAAGATATGGACAGGGCCTGTTCCAGTGTGCCCATGATGTTCACATCTTTTTGCAAAATGAAGCTTTAAATGAAACAGCTATTTTACTTCCTCAGAATGATACAAAAAATCATTAAAAGATTTTCTGCATTCCTGCATCAGTGATACAGAAAGCACTTTTAGGAAAAGATAGCAGTAAAATGGCAGTACCCATAGCAGGGTAGTAACCCCTGCTGTATCCCATTGTGCTACATCATTCCCAGTCTGCAGCCTAAGGAAGAAAAAAACCTGCCATTTGCCTTAAAGGAAAACATCTGACTGTTTTGGTGATATTGCAGTTCTTGATGACCTTGTAGAGGTCAGCAAGATGGATCACTATCCTAACCATTCATAACCACCCAGGCATGTTTGATACTCCATCCCTTTCTTTAGGAGATTACTTTGCGTGTACTAATCAGTCTTTACTACTCCTGTTGAACTTGTCTTTATGCAACCAAATTTTCATAGGAACTCCAAAATTATGTACAGATCTAGTTATAGAAAACTCAGGAGTGTGTTTTGTTTCCTTCACCATCCCATTTGCTAGAGAGAGCTATTGTAGGAGAGAGAAGGAGGAAATAATACTTCATGTTTGAGACAGAAACATAATGAGTTGTTGGTATCCTATTGTCAGATTCTCCTGGACCAGTTCAGCCTGGTTCCATGACAAAATAGGGTGGGGGGACTCACAGACCCATGTCCTGGTAGAAGAGGAAGGGCAAAAATGTAAGGAGATGGCCTTAAAACAAAAACGCAGCAAGGAGCTAAGGGAGAAAACTAATTTACTACATAAGATAGCAGAATGCCAGATAACACAATATAATACAATATAGTTGGAATGGAAGCAAATAAATAAAATAAAACAAGAAAGAGAGTGTCCAAAACTGAAGACTTTACTCTAATGCTGAAGGCTAAGGAACACATACCACAGAGACAAGCTGTGAAAAAAGGGGCAGTCTTGTGTCTCCCGAGTCATTTTATCTTTCCATCTGAACAGAAAATGGAAACAGAACAGTGAAAGTCTTCTGGGAGATGTAGTTCTTGTTCTCTTTTGAGAAAGACAGATGGAAACTATCGACAATCCATGGAATTGATTATTATTCCCAGTTAATTCCCACTGCACTATATAGGGTTACAATATGGAATACCAATAAGAGAAATCATAAAACCATGACATTCCACATCTTATTCCACTTCACTACACCATTCTTAATATGTATATGAACAATAATTAACAGTAATGCACTAAACACACACACATACACATATATATACAAGGATTTAGTGACTGCATTCCCCAAAAATCAAATTCCCTTGTGGCACACATTGAACATCCCCATTTTTTCTGCATCATACACTAAGTGGACCCTGAGTAAAAAATGTTTCGTGGAAACATGGAAAGATTTGCCTTTTCCAAACCACTTTTCCCATCATGCTCTTTACATGTACTACGGGGACATAGTATGAAGGGAGCTGGATTGGGCAGGACCATCTCATTTGACAGAGCCTCAAGTAGTGACCAACCAGGTGGCTTCTGCCAAATGCTTCTCTCAGTATTATGTGACCCATTGCTTTCAACGCAGTTTTTAACAATCTGTTGTACTGTTTGATACTTCCAGAAGCTGGTGTATGATAGGAGATATGGTAAATCCACTCAGTGCCGTGGTCTTTAGCCCAAGTATTTATGAGAGAATTTTTGAAATGAGTCCCATTATCTGACTCAATTCTTTCTGGAGTGCCGTATCTCCACAGGATTTTTTTCTCAAGACCTAATATGGTGTTTCAGGTGGTAGCATGGGGTACTGCATATTTTTCAAGTTACCCAGTGGTTGCCTTCACCATGGTAAGCATGAAATGCTTAACAGAAATCATAAAAACCACAACACATTTAATTTCATAGAAAAGCAATTTTGGCCAGCAACAATTACAGAATATGATGCAAATGTTCTGATTTCCTTTGGAAATAAATAACAGAACTTAACTTTTCAAAGTTCCACTAAGTTTTGAACATTAATACATATTTGGTCGTATCAGAAAGTGTCTTTGATATCTGAGCATTATAAAGCCATCTACTTTTGAATGCTACACATTTAGCAAGGAAATTCCCCCCACTTCTTTCTTTCATTCATTGAAACAGATGTCTACATTTTAACAAGCTCTACTTTTAGCAGTATTTAACTCTTAATTTGATAAATTAAAGAACAAGGCCATAACAAGCTCCTGAAGGATTTGTACTTTGTGTGCTTCAGCTTTAGATTCATAATTCCCCTGCACATTTTATGTCTGATAACATTTTGAGCAGTAATAGGAGTCATTTAATAGCAATGCATTTCCCTCAGATAACATCCACCTCTGATCTCTTTTAAAACTTCAGAAGTGAGAAAAAGGGCAAACCCTTCACTACAGTTCATCTAGACATCACCGATTTAGTGCTAAATTTGAAAGCATTTTTCCTAAATTCTTGCAAAACACAAAAAATCTCTCATGTACCGGGGCTTAGTCAGTATTTCAGAGAAACTCTGCTATTCATAGTCATTACTCTATACCAAAAATATAGGTATGGCATTTAACTGTCAGCACAGGCATGTTTCAGTGCCTGATATTTAGCTTCAAAGTAGAGTAAGAATTAGTTTCCTTTTTTCTTTGGGTAAAATAGTTTATTTTAATAGCACTTCATGGGAAAGAAATTGCAGGGAGCTAAGCAATGTACTATCTGCCTCGAGTTAATCTACTGACTTCTCTGACCTCCAAATTGCCTTTCAGAAAATGAGCAAGCGTAGCAACTTTGAACGCCACAAGATGCATGGTCCTGAAGCAGTAGAGTTGAAGAACTTCTGGGAAAAAGCCATCCAAGAGCAAACGAGGCAACGAGAAAGTGAGGAGTCTAGGTTAAGCAAAAGTGCTCTCAACAAGTAAGTGGTGTATTTTCTTTTGTCCAAGAGATCCGGTCTGTCATCACATGCTTTAAAATAAGATAACCCCTATTGTACTACTTTATTCATAGCATAGATTTTGTTCTGGGTCCTTGGCACTTTTCCTCTCACAGCTGCTTGTCTCAAATTTCCACGGCTCTTCTGCATGGAAACTCAGATACCCCTCACCTTTGAATCTCATGAACATTCTTCAAAGGCCTAGGAGCATGCCCAAATAAAAATAAAATACCTTGGCACAAGGTCTTGTGACAGATAGTAGAAAGTATCCGAAATTTTACTAATGCAGCTACAGCAAATAAATAAAATTACATTGAATTAAAGGAATAACAAAACACCCATTTAATGAATAGTATAAACAAATCCATAGCATTGTTATCATTTTAATAATGTCTTACATCATATAAACCACAAGGTTAGAAATGTTACAATAATGTCTACCTGTCTGATGAAACATATTTCAGTATCATTCCTGGTATACAAAAGGAAACAAGTCAGTAAGTAGACAAATAAAGTTATTCAATTATTTCTATTATTTTTTATTATGCCAAAACTGCATAAAACAGCATTCACTACCTAGAAAGAGCTGTGACTGTAATGTAAATACTTCAGTCAGCTATGGTAGATGCCTCACTTGATCAACCTGCTGAACCTTAGAAGTTTGAATCAACATCTCCCACTAATTAAGTTAATCCCTTAACAGTCAGTGCAACAAGATGGGAAGGTCATGTCTCTCTTGTGCTTTTCTGGTAGACTTTCTTCTTGAAGTTGGAAAGGTTTTCCACATGAAGTTTCCTAAGAACTAGTACATCCATATAAATTAACTCAATTCCACCAAATTGGAATGTATAGGTAAAGGGCTGTATCTTAAAAAAAAAAAAAATCAAGATACTCTGATCTTGACACCCAAGAAGGAAGCACTGTTCTCACCTTAAAAATATGGAAATCAGTGTCTGTGTAGGCTGTATGTCCCAGCAACATCAGAGTTTGGTAGTTCAGACTGGCTATTATAACAATACACTTCACCAGTTGTTAATGGACATGGAACAGTCTCCCTGGGGCAGCTGTCACAGCTGCAAGATGTCAGAGTCCAAGGAGTATGCAGACAACACTGCCAGACATTTGGGTTGATCCTGTGTGGAGACAAGAGTTGGACTCAATGATCCTTGGATCCCTTTCAATTTTGGATATTTTGTGTATCTATGACAGTATGATTCTCCAGCTAGCCAGTAAATTTCTCAAACCAAAATCAACCAGTTTTTGAAGAAAAAAGCCAGGAAAGTGTTTGGCTGTAAAGTTTTGTCTTCTAGCTTCATAAAAACTAATACAAAAATGTATCACAAGGCAATTGCAGTTATGTGCATCAATAATACATTTAATTTTCAGAGTTAAAATGTGAAAAGCTTTTTCAAAATTTTGTCTGAATAAGAAAAAAAAAAAAATAGCAAAAGATCTTTGAATGGGTCTTAATTACTACAGGTCACAACTAAAATAGACCCAAGCAAGCTCCTTCAAGGTCAGTCAACAAACATCCAAGTTGATCACAGAATGTTCCCATTTCTTTTTTTAAAGGGGCATTCAGGAGATAATAGATACTGTCATTACAAAATGTACAGGTTCACTACCTCATATAAGTGGCACCTGGAAAAATTAAAAGGCTCTAAGTATAGCCAGGCACTCCCTCTGGGACTCCTAGATAACTAGTTAACAAGGAACAGCAACACTTTGAATGGCAAATATTTACTAAACAATTGAAGCTTTCTGAGGCTTAACTATACTAAGGAGAGAATAGCAAAGGCAGACCAAATGAGAGAAGTTTAGAACACACTCTGCAGTCAAACTCAGGAGCCAAATGAACATAAGCATCAGTTTGAAACTGCTACTGTTAAGTTATTCTCAGATGAAATTATTAGCTGCTGTTCTTTTTACTACATTAAATGTAAAATAAAAGCCCATGTATTACATGACACATTTGGCACTACTATATGACATCTAATCTTATAGCATTGCTGTATCAGGTGCTTCATAATAATATTTCCTTTGGAAAATTACCCCAGCAACAGTATCTTGTACTGGTTCCTAGTCATCTTCTCTTCTGTCTGTACTAATACTTTTGCATGTGGCTCCTCTTGCATGTGACATCAATTCCTTTCATGAAATACATACAAGATCTAAAGATATTTTGGATCCCAAATGACTACGTCTTCACTGTCTTTTTTTATTATTATCATTTAAAGTTAAAAAAAGAAAAAGAAAGAAAGAAAGAAAGAAAACAAAACAAAAAAGATGTGTAAGGTCCTGCTTGCTTTCCTCCAAAGCATTTTAGAGTAAAGTTGTGGAGAATATGTTAATTGTAATTTCACTTTCCACCTTGAATGACCTTTCCACATAGGCAGTGCGCTTCTCTGTGGCTTTGAGAATACCCCAGAGGAAAAAACAGAGCTCTTCACAGTGACAGTTTCAGCAGTTGTTTGACTCATTAGGAATCTAGCAATGTCACCCACTGATACCATCAGCACTATCCTTTTCTCCCCTGCATTCCCTATCTAGCAAGATGCAGAGATGTGTAGATGGTAAACAAATACAGGACATGTGCTGTGGTGATGAAAGAGAGGAAAGCTTCAATCCTACTGAAAAGCCCTGGATGTATTTGAAGGATTTGGCTCTGTGCTTGCTAAGTATTTGTCCTCCCTTTGCAGGCTTCGTCATGAGTGGACTCAGAGGCTGGAAGGCAGGACAAAGCTAGTCCATGCACACTTAAAAAAGCAGAAGGAGCAGATGGCACTGCTGTCCATAGAAGCTCATCATTTGTCAGATAAAACTGTAGCTTAAACTTACTCTGAAAATACAGGAAGCAATGGACTTGATGCTGACCTCCGTCTCTACGAAGAAATTACACTGCACAACAAACAAGCAAGAAGTCAGACTCTTGTCCTTTTCCAGAACAGCTACTAGAGCTACTAGTAAAGCTCCACTGAAATTCACTGCAAGAATTAGGCCACAATACAGTCTCTTGAAAATGCAGATGGAGAGGTCAGAAATAGGCACATATAATTCTGCATGCTGTATTATTACTCTGATGTAGCAGACTTCTTACGTAACAGCATTTTCAAACTACAGTAACATATTTCTCAGAAAGAGAATCGTTTGGTTAATAGGCATAATACATTCAGTCTGTGTGTGAAATTGCATGTTTCCATTTATAGAGCTCTCGGATTCTGACTTAATGCAGACATAAGCCATGCTGCCTATCTTGATAAGTTATAGTGAAGGGGGTTGAGAATTACTCTGAAGAGCTGGACAGAAAAAATGTATTTTCTAGTGGAATCAAAAGAAAAAAAGAAGAAAAGGATTTTTTGGTCAAGATGCAGGAGAAGTTCCAGATCTGAATGATTAAATGAACAGAGGGAAAGACTTTTCTTTGGTAGGATAGGTAAGAAAAAAGTCTAGTGAAACAGTCTTTGAACTAGTTTGAGAGGCATATGACTAATAGGAAGGAGACTCTGAAGCAAAAGGCAGCAAATCAGTTCACCATAATAGTGCCAGAATGCTCTGCAATGTACTGCTTGCCATACACAGCTTACACTTGCTGCATTACTTTTTCTAGGTCAGGTGACAAAAAGGAAGAACTAACTAAGCACAGGATAATAATACTGCATTTTATTTACCTATAAGTCTATGTATGTAAATGCCACAAAATTCCTTGGATATCTAGAAATGTGTTGTGGTTTTTATTTTACCCCTTTTTAGGGGAGGGGAGGGAAAAAGGGGAGAGGAGAGAACAAGGGGAGGGAAGAGAACAAGGGGAAGGAGAAGGGGAGGGGAAAAGAGGAATGGGAAGGGAGGGGAAAGGGGAAGGGGAAGGGAAATTCATACATTTTACAAAGGATTAAAACTATTTTAAACTTCTGCAAGGTTTTATTCTTTATTTACTGGAAGGTGGAGGGAAAGCAAAATCACTCTTTTCATGCAAACTAACCCAGAAAGTAATTATTTCTTTCATTGTTTTTCTTTTTTCTCTCTTAGAAAAGCAATGCTGAACAGTAATAAACATGTATCTGCTGTTGCCTTTGCAGTCTCAACTCATTCTCTATGTTCATTTATTTCCCATAAACTCTTTAAAAAGTTCTTTGGCTGTGACCCAAGCCTAAGCATTATCTTTGGTGAAGAAAACCAGGCTTGAACCTGCTTCTATGTACATCAAACACACAACATTTCATTGCTCCATAGCAGCAATACTCTACTGCTTGCTGGTGGTCACTAAAGGACAAAGACAAGGTCTACTGAAACAGAAAAGTGTCATAAAACTAGATCAACTTCATTTATCAACCGAACCACTGCCTCACAGCACTGTGATGCCACCTGCAACAGTGCAGCTCATCTCCACATTATGCCATAGTGACAGAAGGTGATCTGCACAAGGCAGGTCCAAATAGCATTTGTTGTTCTTCTGCACTTGAAATCAATTCAGTGTTAGGAACACTTTTATGACAACATACCCTGTCGTGTATGAAACGATCAATAATTTTGAACAAGACATAAGAAAGAGAGTATGTCAGCAGATTAAGTCCCAGGCAGTAGCTCTCTCAGTTCCTTTTCCATCCACATCTCTGAGGGTTGAAGGACATGTGAAACCACTCCCACTGCAAGCCTGTGGCACACAGTGACAACACACCAGACAACATTATGGGCATTGTTTATCTCAGCAAGCGCAAGTAAAGTATTTCAGCTGTGGATGTGTTTGTAATGCTTCCATTGCAAGACAGAGTGTGATAAGTGGGAAAGATGAAATTCTACCCACATTTGCCAATAAACAGTTCTTCGTGTGTTCTTCAAGTCCATCTGCATTCATCATGCTTAACTGTTCTCAGACATATTTTACACAACAGCAGAGTCCTGGCAGCTCTATGATATTGAATATCTGATGCTTTCTCTTCCCCAAAACAAATGATATTCATCCATTTTCAGTGTTACTGCACAGATTGAGAAAATAATTGAGTACTAAAAATCCAGCAGCTGGTTGTAGTCAGATATATTGTTCACAAATTGGCCAGCTGAATGCAGATGGTAAGGTGAATGGCAGTATTTTGTCCTTTTGCTCTAGTCACTAACTGTGAAAATTAATTCCTGAACTTAGGCATTTCAGGTATGCCTGAAAATGTGAAACCTTGTCTTGCTTATAAAGCAAGCAAACAAAACAATCAGTTCCATTTGAATCGTCACATGAAATACGCCATCTCACTCATGAACACAGCTTTCTTTGATAAAATAGGATATCCAGTGAGCATAAACTCTGCAGAAAGCAGGCCCATTTAGCTGAAAGTAATTTTCCTTCCTGGCCCCCAGTTCCTCCTCCTTCCTAATGAGAAAAAGAAAAAAAAAAAAGAAAAAGAAAAGAAAAAAGATAAAAATGAAAATTTACATTACATTAGATATATAGATATATTTAAAAAATTGGACAAGCTATTTGAGAGGAAAAACTAATTATCAAGATACCTTTTCATTGAAGTGTATCAATTTCCCTAATAGAAACAGAGTTGGAAGTGAGTGTCAGTCTGCATAATCAGTTCCACCATCAGCCCACACCAGCAAGGCATTGCTATGCCCACTCCAGCACTTATATAAGCCAGTATGGAACAACTAAAATTGCACAGTATTTGTCAGAGGATAATGTTTTTTGGTCACGAGACTTAAATCGCATGACTGATGATGCAACAGGTGTGGATCACACCAATGAATAAATGCCCCAGAGATGAAGTAGTGATGCCAGCTGTAGAACACCTAGTTGTATGCCCAGATTTACGTGAATGGCAGATAATGTGAGTGCATACTGCACTCATTCACAGGCTTACTATTAATGCTGTGTCTGACCCAGCAACCAGTGACTAATAGTCAATAGCTGGCAAGGAGTGTTTTTGTAAATTTCCTCTGAACTGTGACAAGTCTGCCTTACTCAAATTCAGTCAAGTCAAAAAGGTGAATTTAAACTAAATTCAGCTAATCTCATTACATTTGAAAACTCAGAAGAACTCACATAATCAGTCAAAAATGTGCTAAAGAAACAGCACCTCAACCCTTGTCAACTGCTACACTCTAATTAGTACTCAAATTCAGAGCCTTTCTTAAGCAGGCAGGTTTTTTTTTTCTTTTTTTTTTTTTTTTCATTTACCACATCTGGCTTGAATTACAGAACAGATATAAGGCATGCAAACTACATTTATTCCAAAGAAAACTAAACTAGACCAGAAGTCTTGGCCCAAGTACACCCTACCCTCTGGGGATCTGAGACAAGCATTTAGTTCTTCAGTTTTGAGACACCCAAACAGTAGCAATATATGGATCAATAAACCAAATAGAGTCTGAAACATAATTAGTCCAATGTAAAGACCTCAGCATCAGATGCTGTGATCTACTGAGCTGCTTGCAAAGAACTGAATCACTTGCTAATGCAGACGGGTCTACCCAATCAAAACAACAGAGATGGAATCGAAGAACATTCATACATGGTGTGCAGATCCAAAGGTGGACCTTAGCAGACACAATGACTGAGCTCAGCAAGAAAAAGTTAATTACTTAGATGTGGTGGCATGCATAACTTTACAGCTGACTTATTCATGTTGGATGCATTGGAACAGAACTTCTACAAGACTTAGCATAGAATCACAGAACAGCTCCAGAACCACAAAGTAGCTATGCGTGGCTCAGTTCTACAGTAAACTGATAGGAATAAATGAATACTTACCAATTTCCTAGCTCAAATGTTCTTCCTAACTACAAAGTGTCTGTGTCCTGAGGGATGTTGCTCTCTACCTTGCCCATTAAATAGCACTTGACTGGGGCTTCACTGCCACAGTGTGAATAAGCACTAGTAAACCACATTAAAATAATATATTAAAATACTTCCAGATTGAAAAGGAACATCTTGTTGTGTTTTTTAACTCCCTGGGTACTTCAGCTCATTCACCCTCCACAAGTGGAAGAGGGGAGAGAATTGGAAAAGTAAATCAGTGAAAAATGAGTTGAGATAAAGATGGTTTGCTAAGTAAAGCAAAAGCCTCTCATCCAATAAATCAAAATAAGTGACTAATCTGCTTTTTTCCATAGGAAGGCAGATGTTCAGCCACTTCCAGGAAAACAGAACCTACCATGCATAATGGCTTATTGGAAAGACAAATACCATCAGTGCAAAAGAATCCCCCTTCCTCCTCCTTTCTCCCTGTTCTGTTGTTCAGTATGATGCCTTATGTTAAGGGACACCCCTTTGGTCAGTTTCGGTCAGCTGCCCTGATTCTGTCCCCTCCCAGCTCCTTGTGCACCCCCAGCTCCTTGCTGACAGGGCACTATAAGGGGAATGTTATTGGCTCCATGTAGCAATACTCAGCAACAACTGAAAATGCTGGTGTATTACCATTGCTATTTTAACAAAAAAAAAAATCCACAGCTTCAAACAAAACTCTGTTAGAAAATTAACTCTATCCAAGCCAAAACTATGACACATCTGTAGATAAATGAGGATGAAACAAAGACTAGCTCCAGAAAATCTTTTACTTCTTGAGGATGCTTCTCTTCCTTAATTAAGCATTACTATGTTATTTATTTCCTGCAGAGAAGGACAGGGGATATTCATGGTATTATATAATTGTTACAAAACTGCACATAAATATTCAGTAGTCAGGACAGACAATACAAAATTTTATTCAATTTTCATATTTCTCATCTATGACAGCTGAGTATATTTATTCCATGTGCTCTCAAGTACATCTTTTTATTACTGTTTAGTGGCCAGAGTTTCAAACATAGTTTAAGCTAATGTAGATAGAAATCAGGTAAAA